ACCAAAAAACCTGTACATAGTGGTTAACTTTGTACTTGTGAGTTGAATTATGATTGAACAGACATATACCGCAAATTCCAGGTTTTTGTTTACGTATAGTTTTGATCACAACTTGTACAACTGACTCAGTCCTTAAAAGACCACTACAGGCACCCAGACCACTTCAGCTCAGTGAAGTGGTCTGGGTGTCAGGTCCCTGTAGTTTCATCCCTGCAGCTGAAAACATAGCAGTTTCAGAGAAACTGCTATGTTTACACTGAGGGTTAAACCAGCCTCTAGTGGTTGTCTCCCTGACAGCCGCTAGAGGCCGCTTCCTCAATTCTCACTGTGAAAATCACAGTGAGAAGACGCTGGACATCCATAGAAAAGCACTGAGTAATGCTTTCCTATGGGCGGTTTGAATGCGCATTTGGCGCTGACGTCAGCAGGAGGAGGAGAGGTCACCAGTGCCGAGGAAGCCCGGCGCTGGATTGAGGTAAGTGGTTGAAGGGGTTTTATCCCCTTCAGCCCAGCGGGAGGGGGGTTCTGAGGGTGGGGGGACCTAATAACCCTATAGTGCCGGGAAAACAAGTTTGTTTTCCTGGCACTATAGTGGTCCTTTAAGGGGTTAAAGTAGTCTATTTTAAGTAGGAGTTGAAACAACAGGAGTTTAAACAAACCAAGAGGGTTAATGTTGTTTTGCTCACTTTTGTTTTTGGTAAGTGTGTGTTAGCAAGATTGCGAGTTTTCTAAGTGCACATCCTGCTGCATGTATCCATGGATGAATCTGTCCAGAGTCCATACCTCTGTGGCAGGTATGAGTGAGTGGCTTTTCTGGAAGCTCAGATGAGAGATCTGGAGAGGCAAATTGCAACATTGAGGGAGACTGACAATCTTAAGAGGAGTCTGCTGTTCACTGAGCAGAGTTTATTAGGGGCAGGTAGTGGAGTGGGAGGAGATGAGACAGCTGGTTAACATGCACATAGCTGGGCAACAGTGGGGTGAGAAAGCAAGAGGAGAGGAAGAGGAAAGGTTTAGCTAGTCCTGATCTTGTGCAGCCTAACATATTTGCCCATTTGAGTGAAGATGTTGGGAGCATCAGCTCAGGAGTAGCTGTACTGCAGGAAACTGTTCCTTCTAATAGCCGTGTGAACAGCCCGTCTAGTACGGGTGGGGTTGAGAGTGTAAGGAAGGCTAGACAGGTTGTGGTGGTACGAGACTCTATTATTAAGAGTGTAGATAGGGCAATCTGCCGCTCTGAAAGTCTCAAATGGACAGTTTGCTGTCTCCCGGGTGCTCAGTTCCGGCATGTTGCTGACAGAGTTGAGGGATCATTGGGAGCAACTAGGTATGACCCAGCTGTCATGGTCCATATTGGTACCAATGAAAAAGTCTGAGGAAAATGGAAGGTCCTAAAGAATGAGTTCAGGGAACTAGGAACTAAGTTAAAGAAAAGGACCTCTAAAGTAATATTTTCAGAAATATTACGTGAGCCGCGCGCTACAGCAGAATGGCAGTGGGAGATTAGAGAGTTCAATGCGTGGCTGAAGTCTTGGTGCAGGAAAGAGGATTTGGGGTTTTTAGAACACTAGGCCGATTTTGCCCCCTTGGATACAACCTGTAAAGCCGTGATGCATTGCACCTAAACAGAAAAGGGTCTGCTGTGCCTAGAAGGTTGGAGGAGATTTTAAACTAGTAGTAGGGGGGGGTCATAGCAATATAGAAAATGGAGATAGGATAGAAAGGAGAGGGACTTTAGCTCAGGATAGGGGGAGTGGAGATGGGGGAGGGGCAAGTTCAGAACAGAGGAGGTGTGTAATATTGATAAAAATTCACAAAAAGTACAAATGACTCATGGTAATAATAAATGTATGCTTACTAACGCAAGGAGCCTTAATGACTTGTCCATCTAGGGACAAATGACTTGGCTTGCAATGAGGTTTCAGCGGCAAAGGAAGTCTTTAGTGTTTTTGCCAATGATATACGGCAGGTTGCTTCCACACTGACATTCTCTGAAGTTCTGCCTGTGCATAACACTCAGAACGACAGACAGATGCGTATCAGGGACTTTAACTTGTGGTTTGGTGAATGGTGTCGGGAGCAAGGATTTGACTTTATTTCTCATGGTAGCTCTGTTTGGAATGGAAATAAACTGTACAAAAAAAGATGGTTTGCATCTTTCTCAAAAGGGAACAAATGTTCTCAGTGGGCAGTTCAGAGGTTTTGCTAGGATGTCTTTAAACTAGCGGGTGGGGGGGGGGGCAAAAGGGTGATAAAACATCAATCCAATTGCCCTCCAAAACACGGACAGAAGGTGCCTGTAGCAAGTGTGTTAAAAAATGATAAGCTTAGAGTCATGTCTACAAATGCTTGAAGTTTAGGGAATAAGATCCATGAACTTGTGGCAATAATGGCAACTGAGAATGTAGATTTAGTCGCTGTTACTGAGACATGGTATAATGAGAAAATGACTGGGACATAGCAATACCAGGGTACTCTTTATATAGAAAAGACAGGGAAGGCAAGAAAGGGGGAGGGGTGGTCCTGTATGAGAAGGATAGCATAAAATCTAGCCTAATAAAAGTTAGTGAGGCGAACATATAGTCTGTTTGGGTTATGTTAGAATTTGGTAATCACACAGTAACTTGTGTAGGTGTGATTTATAGGCCCCCAGGACAAATAGAAGAGTTAGATAATCTACTAGTTGAGGAAATAACTAAAATGACAATAAAGGGGGAAGTTATCATCATGGGTGACTTTAACCTTCCTGATGTGAATTGAAAACCAAAATAGCTGCTTGTGCCAGGAGCACACATATTCTAAACTCCCTACTGGGATTGCCTCTAAAACACGTTGTTGAGGAGCCAACTCGTAAAGAGGCCATACTAGATTTAGTGTTAACAAATGGAGATTTGGTATCAGATATTACTGTAGGTGAAAGTTTAGGATCCAGTGATCATCAGTCAGTGTGGTTTAATATAAGAACAGTGACTGAGTCACACCATACAAAAACAAAAGTTTTAAACTTTAGAAAAGCATATTCATTAGGAGTCATTATCAGACTGGAGCAATTTAAAAGGAGTCCAAGAGAAATGGGATTATTTAAAAGTTGCACTGATGAAGGCAACAGACAATTGCATTAAGCTTGTTAGTAAAAGCAAAAAATTCAAGAAATCACTATGATACTCCGAAGATGTGGCCAAAAAAGTAAAAAACAAAAAGTTAGCATTTAGTAATTATAAAAATACCCAGAGTGAGGAAGACAGAATGATCTATAAGATTAGGCAGAAAGAGGCTAAGCAAGTTATAAGAGCTTCCAAATCACACAGAAGAGAAAATAGCACAGTCAGTAAAAAAAGGGGACAAAACATTATTTAGATACATAAATGAGAAAAGGAAAGTAAAACAAGGATTAGTTAGATTAAAAACAAAAGAAGGAAGGTATGTAGAAGGGGATAAAGGTCTAGCTGACTGCCTCAATTAATATTTTTGTTCCGTATTTACAGATGAAAATTAAGGAAAGGGGCCTCAGTTAGGAAAAAGGACAAATTAGTAATTTGTTACATGTGAGTTTACAGAGGAAGAGGTTATTTTTCAACTGTCAAAAGTAAAGACAAATAAGTCAATGGGACCTGATGGAATACACCCAAAGTTATTAAAAGAGCTTAGTGGTGTACTAGCAAAACCATTAACAGATGTATTTAACCAATCATTGTTAACAGGAATAGTCCCAGACGATTGGAAGTTAGCGAATGTTGTGCCCATTCACAAGAAAGGTAGTAGGGAGAAGTCGGGCAACTATAGGCCAGTAAGCCTTACTTCAGTAGTGGGGAAAGTAAAGGAAACCATGTTAAAGGATAGGGTTGTTGAACATCTAAAAACACATGGATTTCAAGATCAGAGACAATATGGGTTTACTTCAGTGAGATCATGCCAAAATAATCTTATTGATTTTTTTGATTGGGTAACTAAAATAATAGATCAGGGTGGTGCAGTAGACATTGCTTACCTAGATTTCAGTAAGGCTTTTGACACTGTTGCACATAGAATGCTTATAAATAAACTGCAATCTTTAAGTTTGGATTCCAATATTGTTGAATGGGTAAGGCTGAGTGACAGGCAACAGAGGGTTGTAGTCAATGAAGTATATTCGAAGCATGGGCTTGTCACCAGTAGGGTACTTCAGCGATCTGTACTTGGACCCATTCTCTTTAATGTTTTTATTAGTGATATTGCAGAAGGTCTTGATGCTAAGGTATGTCTTGTTGCTGATTGTTACGGTACCTCCAGTAATGAAATGTATAAACCGCCGTTTAGTGAGTATTCCCCGTTCGCAATAATGTAGGCTGGTAGCGGGTATAGTAAAACCATGCGAACCGCCAGCTGGGGAACACTCCAAACTCCCGAACGGTACCTGTACGGCTATTTCCCTCCACGAGCTCCAAATCCACGAACTGCCAATATTAGCCGAACGCTAATACCTTCCAAGTGGCAAATATTTCCAATCAGCAGTCTCTAAGCGTCGGTAACCAAATCCCCCCAATAACGAGACCAAGCTCCGCTTTGAGGGTAAAACACGAACTGGTTTACTGTGGGCTACCTGCCCGGTATTTATGCAGGTCTCCCACTTGGTGGACACTCCCCTAGGGGACCAAATGGGAGACTGAAATCACAGAGGGACATGGGGACAGTCTGGACATACATCCCCACAATATTCCCAGCATGCAGTACAGTTCCCTCCCCTCTGCTCGGGGAATAATTGGGAAGTAATTCAATTATCTCCCCGAGCAGAGGCAATCGCCATTTTAGATACAAGTTATAAAAACACACAAAAATCCATAACTTAATAACTGCTGAACATTTTACATCAGTCTTGCATATCCCCAGATAGCCTGGATCTGAGGGCACATTATTGGAGAATGGCGCTCAGATCCCATTCGCACAGTTCAATCGCCATGGAGTCAAAGTCTCTTTCAGTTCTTCGGTATGCGATTGACTCCATGGGACGGCTATCTGGGTTAAGTCCATTCGTGTGGTTGAATCTCCCGAACGGCTGTCATTCGCATGCTTTTGTCGATTGAGAAGGGGAGGTCGACGGCTTCAGCAGTGTTCGGCTGAAAAAGTGTCCGTTTTCCGATCCATGAAATAATCGGTGAACACCGCTGGTCGTTCGCATGGACAAAATGGCCGCCGCCTCGTGGTCGACATACGAACGACGACCACCCGGCATTCGGTTTTTAATTGAGAAGTGTCTGTGGTTAACCGCAACGCTCTAATTGGGATCAATAGGTTAACCAGCAGCACACTTCTCTTCTGGGTGGCCGTCCGTTCGGTAGTTCCGTTCGACAAAACCGACATTCCCTTAAACAAAGCATACGAACGGGGAAATTCATGAAAACGGCAAAACAGACGAACAACGCAGTTATAATCCAGACAGATGGGTCTGTCACACTGATGATACTAAGATATGTAACAGGGTTGATGTTTCAGGAGGGATAAGCCAAATGGCAAATGATTTAGGTAAACTAGAAAAATGGTCAGAGTTGTGGCAACTGACATTTAATGTGGATAAATGCAAGATAATGCATCTTGGACCTAAAAACCCAAGGGGAGAGTACAGAATATTTGATAGAGTCCTAACTGCAACATCTGAGGAAAGGGACTTAGGGGTGATTATTTCTGATGACTTAAAGGTAGACAGACAGTATATTAGAGCAGCAGGAAATGCTAGCAGAATGCTTGTGTAATGATATTGATGTTACAAAGTTTTGGAGTCCAGTAGCCAGATCAGCAATGTTTTCTGCCAGAGGTAGCCACTCGTTACCCAGGGTGTTGAGCCCCTGAGCCTTGAGTGACCGTCTTAAGCAGAGATGGGAGACTGGAACAGAAAGATGATAATCGTAAGCCAAGGTCAGTGGGAAGGAGAAGCAGCAAAGTCGAAACAGTCCAAATTCAGCAACAGGAAGGAGAAACAGGAACACGATTGATTAGAGAGTACAGGAACCACAATAATCTGGCAAAGGTACAGAGACAGGAAGTGGCTTTTATAGGCCAAGAACCAGACACCTGACCAGACACAGCTGAAGAGAGTTGTCACTGATAACCTTGACTCTACAAGCAATGGTATCAGATCTTAGGTAAATTTGCAAAAGGCAGGCTGGTGTACTGGTAAGGAAGAGGTTTAGCACCAGGTAAACCAGGGTTCGAAACCCAGCAGAGTCAGTTCCTCACAGCTTAGTTGTATAGGGAGAGGTATTAGCAGTAGAAAGAGGGAAGTTGAACAAAACACTGGTGAGACCTCACTTGGAGTATTGTATGCAGTACTGAAGACCGCATCTCCAGAAGGATATTGATACTTTAGAGAGAGTTCAGAGAAGGGCTACTAACCTGGTTCATGGATTGCAGGATAAAATTTACAAGCTTGGAGGAAAGAGGAGACGGGGGGACATGACAGAAACATTTAAATACATAAAGGGAATCAACACAGTAAAGGAGGAGACTATATTTAAAAGAAGAAAAACTACCACAACAGGAGGACATAGTCTTAAATTAGAGGGGCAATGGTTTAAAAATAATATCCAGAAGTATTACTTTACTGAGAGGGTAGTGGATGCATGGAATAGCCTTCCAGCTGAAGTGGTAGAGGTTAACACAATAAAGGAGTTTAAGCATGCATGGGATATGCATAAGGCTATCCTAACTATAAGATAAGGCTAGGGACTAATGAAAGTATTTTTATAAAAATGGGCAGACTAGATGGGCTGAATGGTTCTTATCTGCCGTCACATTCTATGTTTCTATGTTTCTTTGACAAAATAAGGGAACTAGAGGCAATTGCATACACTAAACAATATGATATAATAGGCATAACAGAAATGGTGGGATGAGACACATGACTGGGCAGTTAACTTCAATGGGTTAACCCTTGGTAAACTCATTAGCTTCTTTGGCTTCCAATATCATTTCTATGCAGATGACACGCAAATCTACCTGTCCTCTCCTGATCTCTCCCCGTCCCTCTTGACTAGTGTCTCTGACTGCCTCTCTGCTATTTCTAACTGGATGGCTGCCCACTTCCTTAAACTAAACTTGACCAAAACTGAAATTCTGGTCTTTCCTCCCTCAAGTGTTGTTACTCCTGTGTCTATCTCCCTCCAAGTCAACGGTGCTACCATCAGCTCCACCATGCAGGTTCACTGCCTAGGTGTTCTATTTGACTTCGACCTCTCCTTCAAGCCTCATGTTCAGTCTATCGCCAAATCTTGTCATTTCCATCTCAAAAACATTGCGCGCATCCGCCCCTACTTAACGCCAGATGCGACTAAGGTGTTGGTCTATTCCACTGTCCTTTC